ATTATTATTTTTATCATTATTATCATAATTATTATTGTTTTACATACTTTTAAAAAAATTTTAAACTTTACCACTGCCCTCCCCCAAAGCAGCTACTTGTATACAATACAAGGCCTTATTAAAATTCCTCACTGTTAGATGCCTTAAGGCTTGCTGGTTTGGCAGTCAGTGGAAAAGTAATAAAAGAAATACAATCAGTTGGATTTAAATGATTATAATTAAGATTTAAATATCGATTCTATCTCAGCACTGTCGGGATAGTAAAAAAAAGACATTGATTACATTATATTAGGTGGCTGGATGCAAATGAGCCAAGAAAGCTTTTTTTTCATTTGTTACATAATCGTAAAAAAGCCCTATATTCTGTATTTGTAAGTCATAAAGTGAAATTCAGTACTTTAACTAAATTCAATAGACCTTACTGCAGTTTTCAACACAAGTTTGATAAGTTGGTGGGCAGGCGTGACCTTGCAGTTTTTGTATGAGAATCTGGTGTCAAATGATTTTTGTGAAAATTCTGTTGTGATAAAAATATCAGTAATACCGCAAACTTACGCAAGAGTTGTACACGTTATAAGAAAAGGATTCTTCTGTAAAAAACTTTTCTTCCTGCAACTAAAATTTCCTGAAAAAAATAACAGACAAGTATGGAAAATCTATTAAAAACAACAAAGTAAATTGAAGGACAGGTACAGGAAGTAAGCATCCCTACCACTCCCAAAATACATCATCATCAGGTACCCAGATGTCCAGGCAGTCCAGGGAATAATTTAAACATTAATACAGTTTTGTGTATTCAGATTAATTACTGCTGGGTGCATTATTTCATGACAACTTACTTTAACAAGTTAGGTAAATTTGTAGCTAATATCACAAAAGAAAATGATTTCTGGTGTTATCGCTAATTGAGATATCAGATTAAGAAAGTATATGCTTATTAATAGAGAGTTAAATTTAAGCTGAAGGCTTTTCGTGTTATTAATTTGACAATTTACTGTACGTCGTAAAATTACAAAGAAAAACACTAAATTTAGGTTATAAAACACTAAAATACTTACTTACCTTTCGGTCTCAAAACGTTTTTCACTTTACTGCTTTAAGAATTTGAGATTGTGTTTACTACACGCCGATGTTACTCCAGGGTGACGACATAAACTAGTGGCAAAAAAGGTCACGCAACAAGGAAAGGCTTAAGCACAAATTTAGTAGGCTTGGCTACCGAGTTGAGCCTGGTTTCTAAGCTCCTTCAGAAAGTGATCCCAAAAAAATTTTTACCGTCCGCCTACACTGACTAATGAGTTTTGTCAGCGGATGACTTTTTCATCGCCGAAATATCGCTGAACGACCTCGCTGAATGATCTCGCCGAACAAGATAGACGCTGCCTTCTCTTCGTTATGTAAGTAGCCATTTTCTGTTTGTCACATCGGTGTTTTCACATTGATATTTCATTGTTCCGCTTCGAGAAACGCGGTTAACAATACTCACGAGCAAGGAGTTAAGATATAACTTATTTACCTTTACCATTTTTATCATCCAATCACAGGTCGGAGCCATTCCTGTAGTCTGTGAAGGCTTAGTGTCCAAGGAGCTCGAGCGAAATGGCGACAAATATTGATAGCTTAAGTGAAACAACTTTAGCAACCATGCCAGCTAGAACTGGATCATACAACGATGTAAGTGAGTTAGTTGTTGAGGTAATGAAAATATTCGGAATCGCTGAATGTTGAAGCCGTAGTTAGGAAAGGCGTGTGCGTAGGTAATATAATTTAAACTGTAAGTTTACTCTCAGTTGTTTATTATTTATACGTTATTGCCAAACGCGTTATGTATCTGATTAAAACCTCATGTGTGCCCGAGTGATATAGGCACTGTGCGTTCGGAATTATACGGAAGAGTCTAATCATCCAATATATCAAAAAAAGAGAGAAAAAAGACGATGATAATCATGTAAAATACCGAAATGTTGTTTTTAGGTGGCATGTATCAAAATTGACTGTGGTTGTGAATTGTGGAAAGATCGTATTTTTCTTGACTTTTGGATGTGTACTGAACCTGTACTAACAGGTCAATGTGCTTGTGAATGAAAGTGAATGACAATGAACCAAACTTTAATTTAATGCATGTAAGTTATAGTCTTTGATCTGTCTTAGTTAGACACGTCACTGAGCTCAACAATAGAGAACAGCAGAAAAAAAAAAGACTACAGTTTTAGTTGTAAAAGAATTTGCCCAAGCAGTGTTCAATATCCAAGTAATAATGATAATAAATAAGGATATTACAAATAAAAGTTGCATGTTAGCCATTTTGGGAGTTTAAGGGTTAAAATTACATGTGCAGATGATGCAATTAAACTTTAATGCTGTCTGTTGCATATAATTATGGTTAATACAGTTTTCAACATGTTGATCTGGAAAGTAACCTGATCTACAATTGGAATTGATGATGTTTGGTGCTCAAAAAATGATCAGGACTAAAGGTATACTGCAGACTGCAGATAGATCAAACAAGTTTTCAAAATAATGAAAGCATTTAAGATTATTATTAATAACATTAGTGTGCTTGAGAAGGAAAATTTGCACTTTAAGTTGCCCATTTGATCTGATTCATAAGTATGAAACAATGGGCTAATGTTTAAGAAGAAATTTCTTTTACATTTTCCATTGCAGTCTTGTCAAAAATTTTTCTTTCAAACCATTTTAAATTTAAAGATGCCAAAGGCACTATTAATTAATGAAATCAATGATTGCTTAGTTTTGATGTAATCTTGCAAACTTAGAACTTCTACTACTTATTGCTGAGTAAGCTTTTTTATGTGATTGCAGGCCAAAATTTCAGTTGGTCATCACTGCCTTTTCATCCAGTGAACTTTACAAGCAGCTTGCACTTAATGATAACCTTTTGATCAATTACATTTTATTTGGTGTTTTTTCTCCATCAAAGTCCCACATGACACCCCAACCTTCTGGCTAAGACCCAGTGCTTTAACTGTATCTTCCTTCAAATAATTATTACTAGTGTGCACTCAGTGGTTTAAATCTCCAGAATAAAGAAAGGGAATTTTTGTACTTTGCTTGTGTTGGAGAAGTCTTTAACCAGTTTAAACCTCTAAGAGTGACTGGCATCTAATTTCTCCTTACAATATCAGTTCTGGATCATACACTAAGGTCCTGGGAATAAAAGTAATGATCACTAAGTAAACTAGCTTGTGACTGTTAGACAAATTCTCCTTGTCAGAACCTTAGGAAAAGTATACCAAACAGTATGGAGAATTTGCATACTGATTGTTAGGGTGCAAATTAGGGATTAAATTAATATATCTTAATAACTATATATATATTTGTTTTGTTTAAGCAACACTCAATTAGACAGAATAAGACAATGCTCTTAGCTTACCTTAAGTGAACAGAGTTCACCTAAGGTAAATATAGAAGCAGTTACTTGGTATAAAACTGTTAAAAACATATCCTTATGTCTGCACAGTATAGAGGTAACATTTATAATATGTTGCAAGTAGTTCTTAATTGGTAAGTCATCTGCAAATACCAAGGGGCTAAGCCCCTGATCATGCATTCTACTATAATGGAAAAAGTTGATTATGCCACATATCTAGCCTGGCATTCAAAATTGGAGTTTCTTGACTTTCTCTTGTATATTGCTGGTGCAATCAACATGTTATAATTTGAAATGTAAGTTGAAACTAACTTCTGAAATGGCATGACTGCGGTAACTGATTATTAATTTTACTTACATGTATTTGTAGGTATTCAAAGGAAATAACGACAGAAACAGCATTGTTTATCACCAGTTAAACCCACCCATCAGAGTTCGCTAAATCAAACTTTGACCAACAGCATGGTATGGTCATATATCTCTTAGGATGGAGCTGTATGGTTGCTCAGCAGGTATGATTGTTGTCTTACATGAACATATTTGGCACTGAAAAATGGAAGGGTGAAACACATGTTTTGACTATAACCAGTATAATGCGGAAATGTGGATATTGCAAGAAACTGTAGATTGTTAGATACTACATTATGACATGCATAGAAAATTTCTCCTTGATCCAAATTTTGTCTAACTTTTAAATTTTTAATAGAACTCTATGTACCCACTTACAAACATACCTACATAACTCAGTACATAAACACATACACATAAACTGTTCTTTTACCTTCTGTATTTCTGTGAAGAATGTTTGGCATCTCTTGGTTTGGAGAGAGGACGCATTAAAGATGCTCAAGTCACTGCATATTCAGAATGGGATGGAAATCATGCAGCATCCAGGGAAGATTGAACTTCAAGGCTGGTGGAGGCAAGCAAGGAGGATGGTCAGCTGGGAAGAATAATGGGAATCAATGGATACAGGTGGCTCTTGGTAGTTACACCAAATTAACAAGTATAGCAACACAGGGAAGGAATGCTCAGAGGCAGTAGGTAACAGCATACAAGCTGCAGAACAGTGAAGATGGAGTGAACTTTTACTACTATAAAGTACCAGGACAGAGTTCACCTAAGGTAAATGTAGAAGCAGTTACTTGGTATAAAACTGTTAAAAACATATCCTAATGTCTGCACAGTATAGAGGTAACGGTTATAATATGTTGCAAGTAGTTCTTAATTAAGTCATTTGCAAATACCAAGGGACTAAGCCCCTGATCATGCAGTCTACTATAATGGAAAAAGTTAATTATGCCACATATCTAGCCTGGCATTCAAAATTGGAGTTTTTTTACTTTCTCTTGCATATTTACAACAAGTGCAATCAACATGTTACAATTTTAAATGTAAGTTGAAACTAACTTTTAAATGTAAGTTGAAACTAACTTTTAAAATGGCATGACTGTGATAACTGGTTATTAATTTTACTTGCATGTATTTATAGGTATTCAAAGGAAATAAAGACAGCAAAAGCATTGTTTATGACCAGTTAAACCCACCCATCAAAGCTTGCTAAATCAAACTTTGACCAACAGCATGGTATGGTCATATATCACTAAGGATGGAGCTGTATGGTTGCTCAGCAGGTATGATTGTTGTCTTACATGAACTTATTTGGCACTGAAAAATGGATAGATGAAATACATGTTTTGATTATAACCAGTATAATGCTGAAATGGATATAACAAGAAACTGTAGATTGTTAGATACTACATTATGAGATGCGTAGAACATTTCTGCTTGATCCAAATTTTGTCTAATTTTTAATTTTTGCTAGAACTGTATGTACCTACCCTCAAACTTACCTACCTACCTCAGTACATAAACACATACACATAAACTGTTCTTTTACCTTCTTTATTTCTGTAAAGAATGTTCGGCACCTCTTGGTTTGAAGAGTGGACGCATTAAAGACGCTCAGGTCACTGCATCTTCAGAATGGGATAGAAATCATGCAGCAATTCAGGGAAGATTGAACTTCAAGGCTGGTGGTGGCAAGCAAGGAGGATGGTCAGCAGGGAAGAATAATGGAAATCAATGGATACAGGTGGCTCTTGGCAGTTACACCAAATTAACAAGTATAGCAACACAGGGAAGGAATGCTCACAGCCAGTGGGTAACAGCATACAAACTGCAGTACAGTGAAGATGGAGTGAACTTTTACTACTATAAAGTACCAGGACAGAGTTCACCTAAGGTAAATGTAGAAGCAGTTACTTGGTTTAAAACTGTTAAAAACATATCTGTATGTCTGCACAGTATAGACTGAGGTAACAGTTATAATATGTTGCAAGTATTTCATAATTAAGTCATCTGCAAATACCAAGGAGCTAAGCCCCTGATCATGCATTCTACTATGGAAAAAGTTGATTATGCCACATATCTAGCCTGGCATTCAAAGTTTGAGTTTCTTGATTATCTCTTGCATATTTACAGCTAGTGCAATCAACATGTTATAATTTTAAATGTAAGTCTAAACTACCTTTTAAAATGGCATGACTGTGGCAACTGATTATTAATTTTACTTGTATGTATTTGTAGGTATTCAAAGGAAATGAAGACAGAGACAACATTGTTTATCACCAGTTAAACCCACCCATCAAAGCTCGCTACATCAAACTTCGACTAACAGCATGGTATGGTCATATATCACTAAGGATGGAGCTGTATGGTTGCTCAGCAGGTATAATTGTTGTCTTACATGAACTTATTTGGCACTGAAAAATGGAAGGGTGAAACACATGTTTTGATTATAGCCAGTATAATGCTAAAATGGATATAACAAGAAACTGTAGATTGTTAGATGCTACATATGACATACAGTCTAAAGAATTTCTGCTTAATCCAAATTTTGGGTAACTTTTTAATTTTTACTAGAACTGTATATACCTACCCTCAAACATACCTACATACCTCAGTACATAAACACATACACATAAACTGTTCTTTTACCTTTTGTAATTCTGTAAAGAATGTTTGGCACCTCTTGGTTTGGAGAGTGGACGCATTGAAGACGCTTAGATCACTGCATCTTCAGAATGGGATAGAAATCATGCAGCAATCCAGGGAAGATTGAACTTCAAGGCTGGTGGAGGCAAGCAAGGAGGATGGTCAGTTGGCAAGAATAATGGAAATCAATGGATACAGGTGGCTCTTGGCAGTTACACCAAATTAACAAGTATAGCAACACAGGGAAGGAATGCTCACAGCCAGTGGGTAACAGCATACAAACTGCAGTACAGTGAAGATGGACTGAACTTCTACTACTATAAAGTACCAGGACAGAGTTCACCTAAGGTAAATGTAGAAGCAGTTATTTAGTTTAAAACTGTTAAAAACATATCCTTATGTCTGCGCAGTATAGAGATAACAGTTATAATATGTTGGAAGTATTTCTTAATTAAGTCATCTGCAAATACAAAGAGGCTAAGCCCCTGATCATGCATTCTACTATGGAAAAAGTTAATTATGCCACATATCTAGCCTGGCATTCAAAATTGAAGTTTCTTGATTTTCTCTTGCATATTTACAGCTAGTGCAATCAGCATGTTATAATTTTAAATGTATGATGACCCCTTTTATTTAAAATAAATAACAATCCCCACACCAGGGTAGTCCCATCAGAACGTACAGCTCTACTATCAATAGAAGCCCTGGTGAATAGGATCATAAAAGAAATACAATGCATAATGCAAAAATAAATATAAATAATACTACCAATAATAATAACAGCGGCAAGACTAATAATTTATGTGTTATCTAAATATCGAACAATACTATAAAAATCTATATATTTAGAATGGTATAAACATCTATAAATACACACAAAACAATAAGAATCTAGTCAATATAAAATATTATAAAAAATTTTAATTAACTTGAATATTATAAACAACTCATCTATGATAATAAAAAGATTTCCTGGCTGTTTCAGTTCAAACGCGAGGCAAATGAAGTAAATTTCTCTGTCTTGTTCTGGTATTATTAAAATTGAGGACAGTTACCAGAAATGCATTTATTAACTAATTTAAAAGTATGTTTGTCTCTTCTCGACTGTAACTCGGGCCATTTAAGATCCATTAAAGCTTTGTACTATCCATAGATATTGAAACAATTTTGGATGCCCTTCTTTGAAAATTATCCAGCAGTCTGGCATTGCCCACTCCACAACAGTTCCATACAGTGTCGCCATAGTCAAAAATTGGACGGATAAATGATAGATGTAAATTGTTGGCAGCATGACAAGTTAAATCTCTTCATAATCGAGATAGCATACCTAATCTTTTCTTAGCTTTAGATAAAATGTGCTGAATGTGGGGAGCCCAAGAAATAGTCTCATCAAATATAATACCAAGATAAGTGAACATGTTTACCCGTTTTAAACTTTGTCCATGAAAAGTAATATGAAAGTCTTAATGTTTGGACAGTTTAGAATGAGTTCCAAATAGCATGGCTTCAGTCTTGGAGTATTTAGAAACAAGCTGTTCACTTGAAGCCATTCACCCATTGTATTCAGGCCCTGATTCTGACGGTCTTCAATGACTTTAGAGTTATATCCAGCACAAAACAGAATGTATCAGCTGCGTACATAAGCACATTAAAAATCTTAATGCAGAGGGGCAAATCGTTGATATGAATAACAAAGAGTAGAGGGTCTAATATGGAACATTGTGGAACACCAGATGTTATGTGTAGAGGATCAGACGAGGCACCACCGATGCCAACAACTTGGGTGCGGCCAGACGGATAGTTTTCAAACCAGTTTCGCTCTTTGCCTTTGATTCCAAGAAAGTGCAGTTCTCTCAACAAAATAGAATGATCTATTGTATCAAATGCCTTTCGCAAGTCCACAAAAACTGCTCCCATCATGAAACCCTGATCAATATTTTGCCGGATTGTGTCCGCGAAAGACATATTGTTATTGGTATTGTTTGTGAAATCCACATTGGAATGGGCTAAGTAATCCAATTTATCTTTCTGACACAGAAAGACATTTCATGATCGCTTAAGCTAGTACCGGTGACGGTAATATTTCCGCACAGCCCCATACTATTGTAAAACAAATCTGTTTTCCCAATGGCAATGTATTGTTTTTGTCATTGTTTTTTCTATCTGAGAACTGAATGCATAATGTAGTAAGGGGCTGTGCGGAAATTTTACCCCGGTGACGACCCCAGAGTCTTTAATGTTTTGTGGATGGTTTGTAGCAATCAGATCAATCATAGTTCTAGATTCCGCGGTGACTCTTGTAGGCTCCTTGATGATTTGAGTAAACTGCAACGATTTAAATAAAGATTTAAGTTGGTTAGATTCTGGGATAGTTGAGCGTTTTGACGCAAAGTCGGTGTTCCAATCTCCAAGTAAAACCACTTCTTGACCCTTTGAGACAGCAGTGTTCAGAGTGTTATTCATTTTTGAACAGAAACCTTTATCATAGTGGTTAGATGAGTTTGGAGGTCAGTATAAACAACTGGTTAGTAAACTACGCGACTTTGGAAGGGAAACTTCAAGCCAAAGGCCTTCTTTGTCGGGCCTTTCAAGATCTTCTCTTCTGTCAACCATAACATCATTGCGAACATATTGCTACGCCTCCACCTTTCCCCTGTCTGTCCTTTCTAAACAGTTTATAACCAGGAATTGATAGTTCATTGTCAGGAATTGAGTGCTTTCACCAAGTTTCAGTCAGCCCAAAGATGTGAATACTAGACTTGAGTTTGCTTAACAGAAGGCGTAGTTGGTTGATTTTCCATGGTAGGCTTTAAATGTTCTGATGTATCAATTTCAAGCCACGATTATTGACAATTTCTTGAAGTTTTAAAGGAAGATCAATCTCATCTTCACTAAGATCATCGAGTGACATGTTATTAGAGCTGCACATATGACAGTGGCCCGAAGAGTCAAAATCAGGACCAAGACTCATTAGATGAAAATCCTTCTTGCATGAAGTACAGGGAAGACGAGCATCATCCGTTTTTGTAATTTTGAGACAGAGAGGACACTTTGGTGTATCGCTAACTGCAATAAGCCAGTTACTAGTAACTACAATTTCAAGTAAAACATCATGCTGTTGCCTGTTAAGGGTTTTTTGTGTTTGAATGGTCCCCTTTTTGTGACTGCCACTGAATTTAAGGCATTTCACTACTGCGCAAACTTGAGCTGATCTTTATCACAAGGATCCATACTATAGCCTCATGTGCATATGTTATAACCCTTTTGGAGGTATGAAGGGTGACTAACATGTCAAGACTGCACTTAATCAACTAACTGGCAATTCTTTGATTTGCATGGTATCATTAGATTTTTTAACTCTTTAACTCCCAAGATCTGATCGTTTATTCTCCTCTCCAGCTGCTACACATTTCCTCATATATCAGCTATGAAAATTTAGTGTTAGATTCTTCTGCCTGATAAGTTGGAGTTTCTCAATACCTGTTTAATTTGCAGGATAATGTATGAATATCACAGGGAGAAGTTCTTTTTCAATCACCTTAGAGAGTTAAAGGGTTAATCTGATTTTTTCATGTACAGCCTGCTTCAGCCAGAGGGATTGGAATCCGTGTCATTCACAAGTGGAATCAAATTCCAAGGAAGAGACCTGTTATTGTTCAGAGGTATTCTGTATATCTCCCTCTGAGTTTATTAAACTAGTATGTAACTTGTGTATGTACTACTCAGTATTGTAGGGATATAATACTCAACAATAGCAACCACAATGCTCTAGTACATGTACGTTGTGTATACATGGTAGAGAGATGCCACAACCTTTGGAGATTTCAAGTCCAGAGTTTCATTACTCATGGGTGACAGTTACCTCTGCAGTGAGGCTACTGTGACTGCCTTTCCTCCCATCCCCTCCCCCATAAAGATGAAGCAGACCCCCCCAGAATAAATTCAAACATTTAATCAGGCTGTAATTCTCACATTGCTTCTGCAGTGGTACTTCCTTGTTGAATTGTAATTTAGCTGCACAATGCACGATAGTTGTTATAGACTATAATTGGTTAAGCTCTGATGACTGAGTGAGCACTAAGTATGTTTGTTAGAAGACTAGTCATTAATAATGGTAGTAGGACTTTGTGTCATCCAATGCAGTTTGTAATCATAGAAATGATTTACAAAATCGGACGACCGCAAAATGTGAGTTCGATTTGCCACTCACAAGTATGGTTACAGACAGAATCGGATGACTCAAAGTCCTGTTACCAATTAATCATAACAGTTATAATTTCTGAAAACAACAAATACATTCGGACAAATATGTGCTGGAGAGACAATGTTTAAGTGGAAAATTCCCAAACTTTTGGAAATTCCACAATTTTCCTAAGATAAGTGGTTGTTGCTATGGTTATTGTGATCAATTCTGTGATTGGTGGATTTGACTGAAAGGACTAAGAATGGTTGGCTGCTTCAACTGTCAGATTGCAGGTGTCTGATTACAGCCAATTATCCGATTACAACTGTACCGAATATTTAGTGAAGAATAAGGCAGCAAATGCACCAATCATATTTGAAGAAATTGTAACAATTTGATTAATATCATCGTCGTTGTGATTTTTAGGTACCTTGCAAAACCGTTTCTCATCAATGGAAGCAAGTTTGATCTTCGAATCTATGTCTACGTCACTTCATACGATCCACTTAGGATTTATGTCTTTGAAGATGGGCTTGTGAGATTTGCAACATGCAAGTAAGTTTTCAAAGACTCAAACATGACATTCAAAAAATAGATGTGTGCATGGTTAAATAGTTGTGAAGGTTTATTTGTCCAGCGCTACACTGTACACCTCCTAAGATTTCCATCTCCATTTTGTTTTCAAGGTACTCATCATCCATGAAAAGTTTAAGCAACAAGTTCATGCATTTGACAAATTACAGCATCAATAAAAAGAATGAAGGAGCTTACCAAGCGAATTCAGATGAAACTGTTTGTCAGGGACACAAATGGTAGGATAAAGTAGTGTTGTTCATTCACTTGTACATGTACTTACTGTAATAAGCTTAAACCCCTAAACCCTAACAGTGATTGTTCTAATTTCTCCTCACAGTATCAGCCCTGAATCAAGTGTAAAGGTCATGAGATAAGGGAAATGATCATCAGTTTAAGAAGCTCCTGTTTGTCAAACAACTTGTATTCTCGTCAGTACCACAGGAAATGTAAAGAGAACAGTGTGGAGAACGTAGTTACTAATTTTAAAGTGTAAACGGTGAATTTGTTCAGCTTTGCAAAGAAATGTGTTGGGGTAGAGCAAGCTCAGTACAGACGATATTCCGACGCCGTCGTCAAAAAATTATTCTTTCTGTCAGTACTTTCAAGTTATGGTACATTTACATTTGGAGTACATTTGTATTTAATTTGATTGCAACCTTTCTCATAGATAAGCTGAAAAATAAACATTCCATTTTGCTAATTAAACGTGACGCTTCTGTTTGTAGGAGTTTGAAAGCTCTTTGGGGTTACATGAAACGCATGAACATCAACCATGTTCATGTTTGGGAGACAATAAAGGATTTGGTTGTCAAAGCCATCATAGCGTAAGTAACAGAAAGTGCTGTTGTTGTAAAGTAATACTCACTGGAAAGTTAGTAAAATCCATCTTGACAAGTACAGCTGCACAATAGTCCATAGGTTGAAGTTTCTTTAGTAACTCAACTAGTTTGGACTTGCGTTAGTTTGGCCGTAAAAGGCAGAAGCCGCCAGCATTATAGAATAATTTCCTGCGAAGATGGCGTAGCGGTAAAAACAAGATACCGACACGTTACTCATCAATTTTAACGTTTTTTGAGCAGCAAATGTCTTATTACGTACAGAGATGATAACTTTGAAAACTTTGTAGATAATAATGAACGCATGTAAATTATCACTATAGATACATTTTTTGTCGCATTTTGCTGAAAACTTGAACCCTGTCATTACACTGTGCTTGTCCAAGAATCTGAAGGTCTATTTTTACTTACTTCTACATTTTCAGCGTTTTCGCCGTTTCTTTAAATCTTAACATGCACGAGAAAATTTAGTGAAATTGAACTTCTTCATGTGAATGTTTCAGGTCTGACTCAGCGGTAAACACCATGGTGAAACAGAATGTGAGAAAAAGGTAAGAGACTGCAGTTGGTCTTGAACAACATTTGTGCATTTTGAACAGAGTTTAGTTATAGTACGTACGCTATGATTGGTCTATTTACCGCGCTGTTTATAGCTGTATGCCCTCCTCAATTCAAAATTTTGTTTGAATTGATATCTTCGCGCACTATTTGAACCCAGAGATGTAACAAGTATAAATATTAACCTGATTTCGAGTGTAATTTGGTGCTCATAAGCACTTGTAAATTTTTCAAAGACAACAGAATTGCATGAGCTCATAGGGCAAGTGCTATTTGTAATCTTTGAAAAATTTGCAAGTGCTTATTACACCAAAAAGAAAAAGTTATGAAAAAGAAAAATTATGTAATTACTTGGTTGGTAATATACTTGAAAAACATTGCAGAAAGTCGAGACAAACGAAATTTGAAAGCGTGCGCGCGCCATTTGTAACTTGCACTTGTGCTACAACTTTGCACTCGTGTTACATGAGAATGCGCTCGTTTTCAGCTAATCAGAAGCGCGTATTTTTTTTTAATGTACTTCTAAACTACTAATTACTAAACTCGTTTTCATGGTCCGTACGATAAGTTACAAAATCTGTTTTTTTTTCCCCGCTGGAACATCTAACTCAGTCAGTATTACTAACTGTAATATCTTTACTACCATCTACAACATTGTCTAGATCTTGCTGTCATGAGCTTTTTGGATTTGATGTCATGTTGGATGAGACCCTTAAACCGTGGCTACTAGAAGTGAATATATCTCCAAGGTAATTCACGCATTTGTCATGTTCAGAAATATTGACCACGCGAGAGATACCAGTATTCAACCGAAATTCACATACTCAAGAGATTGAAATACTGACCTCGCGAGGGATATGTATCCAACTCAAAAATTTTCATTCTTAAGGGATTGTAGTTCTATGGTGTTCTTGTGAACCCATTCAAATAATTGTTTTCGCATGCAAAAAAATTTTTTTTCCATGGTCCGCCAGACATTGGAACATAGTAAGGGACAAGAAGGCTGCCATTTATAATTTTTCTCATCGAAAACGAGGACGATTTTTAACTTATTTTTCAAAATGCTTTTTAATGCACATCTTGTGTTAATTGATTTATTGCGGGACATTTACGAGCATTCGTTTTGTTTACTCTTTGTCTGAAGTGCAATAAGATGCGCAGCAAGTTGTGTAAAAGGGTGTGCAATAGGATGCGCAGTAAGATGTACAATTAGGTGCGTATTGAGATGCGCAGAAAAATGCGCCTTCGTTAATCGAGTAAACTTCGTCAACTTCCTCCCCAGTCTTCACTCCACCTCTCAACTGGACCGTAACATCAAGGGACAGATGATAAAAGACTTGTTAAACCTGGCAGGGTTTTGCATCCCAGAAAACCTGATCACAACCTCAACTTCAAGGTCAGTCTAACTATTGGAATATCAGAGAGAAATTGAAATTACGAGCTATTTGCAAATGATGAATAGTGAGGCACGTGACTCCGCCAACATGTAATTTTTCAATATGGTTGCATTGTGCAGCGCACATATGAGTATAATGTATTATGAACGTGAAATTCCTGTTTGGTTTCAGCACTAGTAACATGAACCAGTTTGTTCAAGATAAAGCTGTGACGGGTCTTTCTTCAGATGAGAGAGGAAAGGTGAATATATGTTATTGATGGCAAATACCTACAGATATTTAGAACAACATGTTTTTGTGTCAGTTTGCCAGTCTTAATTTACTGTGACAACGTCATATATATAATGGTAATAGGACCGAGTGGAGTCCAATACGGTCGGTAATCATACGGGTGTTTAACAAAATTTGACGACCGCAAGGCGGGAGTCAAATTTGTCAATCAAGAGTATGATTACAGACAAAATTGGACGACAAGAGGTCCTGTTACCAATCAATCATAACGATTACAATTTCTAAAAACAACAAATACATTTAGGTCAAATACCTCCAGTGGAGACAAAGACTAAAGTAAAAAAAAATTGTAGTATAGTAATAGTCTAGATTTATGTTTCAAGAAGGGAAATAGTTAGACATGCTCTATTGAGTGCTTTTGTATTGGAGATTGCTGCTGACTTAATACTTCTCCTTCACTGACCCCAACATATAGTTTAATCATTTTACTTATGAGCCCGCCTTACGGATTATTAGAACGTACAAATGATGTTAAAAAGTACTGACTATAAATACATTCCATTATTTGCGACAATGTAACAAGGAATTGACTTCGAACCAAGTCAAACTGTTCTTTTGTGTGTCGTCTTAATTTGTTTAAGTGTTGGACTTATTTTTCTTGTGTTTCAGCATGCGTTTTATGTTCAACGTCATCTAGATGAGGTAGGAACACATTTTAGAACGTTTCCCTTCAAATTCCTTTCTTTTAAATGATTGCATCTAGAAATCCCACAATGCCTTTATTATTGAAATATCTTGCTGACAGTTACACAACATGTTTCATGAACTCGAAATTACGCCGCAGAGAGCGCTTAAAGTCTGCAGACACTTGACCCTTTTACTGGCTTTTCTAGGATGCATCAGGATGAATTGCGTCAAAACCCAAACGAAAGTTACCACACAGCCAGCCCAAAGAAAGAAATTAAAAAAAAGAAAATGTCGCAATGAACTAATAAGACAATTTACGGTGAAATCAAAGAAAATGCTTCGAGCGCGGAAAGGCAAAAGGGACCAAGTAGTTGGGATTTGTGTTAGTGAACATCAGCATCTTGTTATTCAAGAGAGTGTCGAGTTTTCTAAAACAATCACATAGGCTGTTGGAGCTTAAGAAACATCAGTTTAATCCAATGCAATCCCTAGCTGCGTTCGTCACTTACTTTGGATTACCTGAATTTTGAATTTATTGGTAAGAAATTTTAATAATACAAACTTGTAATCAGTTCACTTCTCTTTCATTCATGTCTTTTAGCGCACGAAACAGTCAATCCTTGACATCTTAACACCAGACGACATTAGAATGCTTATGGAGACAGAGGATGAGGTACACTATACATTCGAATTTTTGAACAAATTTTTGTTTCGATTTCTCTTCGTAGTGAAAAGCAAAATTTACAAAGTTTATTGCTTGTTATGCGTGTGTGAAATAGAAAGGTGAATTCATTTTATCCTTTATAAGAGAATGCCATGCATTCGAGAAAGTGAAACTTTCCGTAATGTAGCATAGCTCGAGCGTTTCTATTTTCCCTCACAGAATAGTCGAAGAGGATGCTTTCAGAGAGTTTTTCCATCCATGTCGTCCAACAAGTATTTAAGATTCTTTGAGTCTCAGGTGAGGATAATTTTACGCACAAACAGTTATTACTACCTCATTAAACTACGGGCAGTCCCTGCTTGTTGCCGAAGTCCGTCGCGCGACCAAAAGAAATCAGAGAAAAAAAGGAAGATTTTAGCGCGCCGCGCGGATTTCTGTAGTAGGTACTACTTATAGTGTGTGCCACTCTCAGAGGTCCGAGCGGTGCGCCAACCATTTTCTTTCAATCACTGTTTTTTTTTTCCCCGAATGGTGCGACGGACTCCAGCAATTTTGCTCCTTTTTAAAATGACTTTCTCTTCCCTCCATCCTTGATCGAATTTTTCTGCCAATTTCCTTATAGAGATATTACAACATTTTGTTGGACGAATGGACAAGAAAATACATGAGAGAAGGGCGGAGCACAGTCCTGGGTAAGTTTAAATTCAGGTAGAAAAAGCTAGGTCACCGTAATGTATATTCGGAAAAAGTAAACTACGTTATTTGCAGTCTATGTATGTATTTGCGATATTTAGACTGGCTGGCTCAGTGCAGCACAGAGCTGGTTTAAATGGGGGCCAGTTTAAGACCAGACCACTACACCGGGAGTCGTGCGTTCCACAAACGTGAGCTGAACAAGTGTAGTCCGTGTCACTCTTTAAAACTCTGCGTCTTTTTGTTGCCCTTATGGTCTCAAGTTTTTTCTTGTTATGTTTCTTACGATTCTACACTGTAAATGTTTATTTAAATTGGTCTTTTTTCTTACACAGGAATCGCTGTTCTCCAAGCACTTGGTGAAAAGAAACTTCATATTGGGGCAACCTCGGATCCATCACATCAAGTGAGGCTTAATTTTATTAATTGATTTATTTGTTTTCGCAAAGAAAGTAATCATTCCTTTAAAGATTTTGAAAATAGTTCGAAATTCTATTTGGATTACTGACTGACTGATTGACGACTAACTGATTGACCAACCGACTGACGGCTGACTGATTGACCGACGGACTGACGACTGACTGACTGACTGACTGACTGACTGACTGACCAGCTGTGTAACCGGTTAGCTGGCCTGCTGACTGACTGACAGACCGGCAGACTGAATGAATTGATTGAATCGGATCCATCGAATTAATGGTCTTATCAAGTGACTTATAGACTGAAGAACTGACTGGCTGATTGATTGATTGATTGATTGATTGAGTAATCGATTGATAGCTCGATCACAAGATTTAAGGCTTTATCGATTAATTGATTGAGAGACGCCCTTTCCTCACAGTGGAATTGCCCTCAAGGTATAACGTACAGGTCCTCTTCCGCTCCAGCTCTCAGTTTGGACCACGGACTCATCAAATCAAGGTCGGTGTAAAAAATTAAATTCCAACTTAATGTCGATTGACAAAAACTGCATATCGCTGTTTGTTTGTTTTGATATTCCTGATGATAACATTTATTTAAAGTCAATTTATAGGTTGCCCTCAATCTGAAACACCATGTCACTCTCCGTCCATTCTCAGTGTTCTACATGTTCTTGAACGTTTCTTCTTTCTCTCAGACGCTTCTCAGCACCAGCTGCGAGAATAAAGGAGTGGAGCAACTCAAACTCTTCATCTACTTCTATTAGGTACATGCTGGAAAGGTGCTGCATGGTTTTTTGGGATTGGCGCAGTTTCTTTTATGTTGACTTTGGTCCTTTTTCTACGATGGGTTCTGATTATTCTCCTCCCTGCTCTGCACTACTTCACACACTACTTCCTTTGTTGTTCATCCTTGTTCCTCAGAAACTCATTCTAAGCTTGTTTAAGCTTTTTTCTAGAAGCTCTCTTGCCACTCTACTTCCTGGTTTTCGTGCTTAGATATTTGAGTTTGTTTTAAATGTTAAGCTTCTTTCTTTATTACAATTTAAAATTGTTTACAAGTTCGTATTTGCTATGTATTTACTCTGTAGTCCGCACACCTACTTTAAAAGCTACAACAGATCCATTGGTAATCAGAAGGACTCATTTCTCGCTTTAAGCTCTGTTAGTTGATTTTACTGCTCGCGCTGTTTCGAATTGAGATCATCACTGATTGTTTTGACTTTATTTTTCCTTCCTCACTGTTAGTAGGCTTTCCTCTGCTTCTTCAACTAAGACTATCAAAAGGTATTATGTCAGCAATTTTTCATGTTCCTAAACATGTCCCATATGAATATATCCAAATTTGGTTGCGTGAAAGTCTTCAAAGTTCAGTCTTAGTCCGGTTCTTTTCTCCCATGCAATTATTTCTCTCCCCTTTTTCCATTTCTTGCTTTTCACCTTTTTAGGAATAGCACAGCTTCCATCTTGAAAAATTCTCCGCGGAGAAAATCAGCTGTTACATCATTTAAGGGCAAAAGGTATTCTTTTTTCTCCCGGTCTTTCTTGGGACACTGAAAATTCATCACTAATTTCACTTTACCTGTACGCATCTTTGCGACGAGGAGTGAGATTCTGATCGCACATTCCAGATTATTGAAGAGCTGAATGTGAAGAAAAGGAACTATCATGATTCAATACGGTTAAGTTGCACGCGTTGTATCGACAGATTGTTACAGAGGAAAGTCATGAACAGGATCATATCCAGGGTTCCCAGGAAAGGGATTTGTTTCTAAACATCTCCTTGTAGTTTAAGTCTGTCCTTTTTCTCTTATCCTCAGAAGAGATGTATCCGCATGGCAAAATGTGACAGTGACAAACGAAACTTTGTTCTTCTTTCTGAACCTTTTCCTACTCCTTAAATTTTGGATCCTCATTCTAGTTTGGCGATTTTTCCTCTACTATACTTTATTACTAATCTCGACTTCACTTTCTTTACTTTCCTCTTTTTCTGCCGGCCGATACCCGGAAAAAGACGACCGTCCTGATGTTTTTCCTTTTTCGTCCTCTCTCACCCTTCCATCTTTGGTACTCTAACTCTGTCTTTTCTTTTTGTTGTCCTCTTTTCTCCTCTCTTTATCAAATAGAAAACTTCGAACAACTCCACGATGTAAGTCAGCTCCTTCTTGTAGACGTAAGAATAAAGAAAATTCTGAAAGCTCTAACGAATCAGGGTAATATATAGTAACTTTCACTTTTTGTCTTCATCTTTTTCTTTCATTTCTACATCAAAACTCTAATCTCTGTAGTTCACTCTACACCTATTTTAGCTATTTCGTCCCATGTTCCTGTAAATTAATCGTTAATTCACAACTGACAATCAATGAATTTCGATAAATGAATTTCTTCATCAGCCGAAGTGACAATCTTGAAAACTGTAGTTTAGTTTTAGGTGTGCTAAGGTGATCTTTATAGAAAGTGGCACTTTGCTATGCAGTTGCATATTCTCATAAACGCAGATGCACTTATGAAGTTTTTGGATCATTTTACCCCAACATTTACCCTAACCTGTTATCAGTTGACAGTCGTTGGGTTATGGGAGGGGTAGGAGCGTATTTGCTCAGATACCAACAGTGATTCCAAGTTCAGTTTTAAAGTCACAAAGATACTTATGTAAAGCGAAACCAGTTTCTTTACTGAAACGACGATGGCCATTAAGGCCCAGGGTGACCATCAGACCTACAGCTCAAACTTCCACCAACCCAGGAGATCTTAGAACTTCATTCTAGGCCACATATACCACAGTGGTTTCAAAAGTAGCTTTCTGATATTTTGTCACAGCCAGCACTAAATAGTATTATCTCAAGAACCATTATCCGTCTTTTTCCTTCCAGTGCTTCGGCTCCGGTGCTTCTGCCCAAAATAAAGAAGAAGTCAACAAAATCGCACACATCCAAGGTGGGTTTTCTCAAACTTCTTGTAGAAAGTGCAATCTCTTTTTACTGAATACCCCGCTTATTCCATGGGAAGTCACTTCAGTTTTTTTTGAGCTCCTCCTCACGATACGTTTGTCTTGCTACAACTGAATAACATACACTTGATTTCTACTTTGTATTTATGTTTATCTCCTACGTTAAACTTGTTTAACTCAATCGTCCTTAGTTTGGCTCCGTCCTCGTAGTTTTCATCCTCTTCAAACATCGTGTTTGATTTCCAGGTCAGCCATTCAACTCTACAAAATCGCTCTAACCTAGAAAACTCTAACCGAACGTGCAAGATTCTTAGGGACTCTTCGCGCCGACTGACCTTACCTCAGATCAAAGAGCGTGAAGCAGTTAAAGCGATTTGTTGTACGGTTCTCTGTTTGTTAGTACGAACAGCACTGTTTAAAACTTCGAAGAATTCATTCGCACCGTAAAAACACTCAGTTAGCCACACATTCAATTAGTTTACCGCTTACACAAGCCGTAAAGCAAACGAACCAACGGTCAAGCCTCTGTGAGGGTTACAGAGCTATTTTATGAACACAGGGGCATAACAAATTACAATTTTTTTTCGTTATGAACACAGCCACGCTAACGCGCTGCCCTGTAGCTTTCATTAAAATGTTTTGTGATATCATGATGCAAAACTCATTTTCATGAAGACTGCCAAGTATTAGCTCGGTGAGATTTAAAAACGATTAATAGGTAATGATAAACCCCGCTGGAGCAAGGAGGGTAGAAGGCATTTTCCTCTTTTCTACTCGACTTAATCATCACACCTCCGCCCATGGGTTTCTGTGATGGCCACCAGCGCCACGAGGAAGACTGGAGACCTGTGCAGACTATGCATAGGGTAATTTAGTATTATCAATTGAATTGATAACGTAATTTAGCTACCTTGAAGAGTTTCGAAGATAACATTTCGAGAATTAGCCCTTCATCAGAGCGAATGGAGGAATTTTGGGTTGTGTGTATGTGTTTATATGAAGACCTTGCTTAGCCTAACATTCGTAGCCTAACATATCATGAAAATGTTATGCTTGATTTTCAACTTATTCTTTTTTTTTCATCAGATGTCTTCCAGCTCGGCCACATCCTCTGAACGAACCCGGCAGATGCTGAGAGCTCGGATGAAATCGAACATCTGACTAGTGCAGGATAGAGGGCCGCTTACTGTGACAACAACTACCATACCCTCTCTCCCTAGTATTAATCCACAGCCAGTGTGTATCGGAGGGGAGGGTGAAGAGTGCATCCAGAGCCGACATGCGCATTGCACGATTGAGACATGCCCACAGAAGCGAGTTCTTCATGAACTGTTGATTCATCTGAACAGACTCAATTTAAGCTCAGATAGATATGCTTGAGCGTTTAATTGATTCATTTCAAACTGCAAGCGTTCTTGTAATATAAATGTACATGTTCATATTTTACGTATACAAAGAGCGAAAAGTGAGAATAGACGTAATTTTCATGAGACATTTAACCCGTGTGGGGTTAGAGTAAACGTGAATATAATGTTTAAAAAAATCATCACTCTATCGAAGTTCTGTTTGCAGATCTGGAGCAGAAATGTTTATAGCCAAAGCTTTAGAGAACTGCAATAAGGAAAGAAAGGTATTGTTGAGATGATGATACCTTATAAATAGTTATTTTCTTATGCATAATTTCCAAACACCGAATTTTCTTCATGATATTGAACAGATGTATATAACAGTAAATACTTCTTAATGCTTGTAAATCCAATTTCCATGATTGACACAACTTTTTACCATATTCTATCTGTTGCAAGTTTTCTACGTATTTATGTACTAAATGGAAAAACAATTTCCACAGAAAAAGCTAATTGATATAACTACAAAGGAATTGATAACGAATTAAAAACGCTGCATTTCATCGTGAACAGTTCTGGTGAAACACATAATATAACACAATTATTTTAATAAGTAAAAACGATTGTGAAAAATCGTTCGTTGAACTATGATGTGTGCAGGGGAGAAATTTCGACACAGAGATTCCGAAATGTGTCCATCGAGAAACAAAAATGGATAAGCTTAACACTCAAGTCTCCAAAATGGTTTACCTGCCAAACCTTCGAATGAAAAAAGGAAAGAAATTGAAAAACAAAAGTAAAATAGTGTAAAGAGAATTAATCTTGTGCATGTTGTTAACATAAACTTGTGACGTTACACGGAAGAGGCTGACCTTGTTTATTCTCGACAAAAATATTTCAAACATGGCTGCGCCTCGTGTGCCACTTTGTTCTTACCACGTTTTGACGTCCTCTGTGATCTATTACTGAACAGAAGCACGGCAACTTGGAATCTATTTGTTTTATATAATAAAGAATTTAAAAAGGTTTTAATGATGACGTTATCAATACGTCTGTCCTCCAATAGATCATAAGTGAGAACCAATTAAAATGCGTGCATAGCTGAGCTTATTATATAATTTAGAATAGACCATGAAAAACTGCATGTCACTGTGGAGCTTATATGTTCCAAACAGTTTTACTTCCGCTCGCTTAGTGCCATCATTTGGCTTAAAAGTTTCATTCAGATGTCGTACATTGCTCTCATCAAAGGCCAATATTACATCGCAATGACGAAAATCATCTTCCTTTACTTTTCTTGCTCCGTGGTTGCTGGCAATTCCGTGTTTCTTCAACACTTGCAACCCTCGTTCGTTCGATTGGAGTCCTTCACGGAAAACATGAGTTCCAGCGCTTTCAATCTTCCATTCGTTCCTATCTTTACGTTCCTGTGTAAGGTGCCTTAAAATCGCTTTAGCTGTAGGAGAACGACAAGTGCTCCCTCGACAAACGAACACGATTTGTCGATATTTAGAATCCGCTATCTTAGATTCCAACAAGGCGAATAAATGGTAAAGTGCCTCTATCCTAATTTGCAGCTTGTAAGAAGATTAAATTATTCAAATTATTCATCGCGCACGCGCCCTGGGAATCAACCAACTTGAAAACATCTGGACGCTCTTTCTTTCAAGTTCTCGAATAACGACAGCTATAAACACCCAATTTTATTCAAATCGTTCGAATCCTGTGATGTAACTGACGAAAAGTTTATGTTTCTTTTCAAATGAAGGATACTTATTGGGTAAGAGTGCCTTGCATCACAAACGTGGAGGGGAACAAAGAGGAACGAGCTCGGAGAACAGAAGGCAGAAGCTTAAGACGGCGGGAGAAGGGATCTACACGTGGGCGGGAAGCGGGAGCAGAAATTGAAAAGGCACTCGTTTGTTGTTTCTTACTGCTCATCAACCAGTGAAAAACCTGTACCCAGCGAAGGGATTATTTCCACTTAATTCCATTTAAGGTCTACCGAAGCATTAAAGATAATTTCATTCGAGAGGAAACATAAAATTGAAATCAGCCTGTGTAATTAGATACCCCTCGAAGTCGGTTACGTCATACGTCATGAATGAGAGAACATAAAACATGTAAACAGTGTCAGCAGTCGGAATTATTCGGCGAGCAAAGCGAATTAGGTCCAACGTCGTCTAAGGCCATATTGATCAGCCTCAGTATTTTTGTATATGGCAATGAAAAATCAGTCCTCGTTTCTGCAAATATTTATGTTACAATTACATAATCACATAGCTGAATCATACCGCTAGTGAATAAATGTATCATAGAATGTATGAACAACTTTTAAAACTTTCTGCAGAGGCCGGTTTTAAAAAGATCTCAATTTCTCGAAGAAATCCGAGTAGTTTTAAAATGTGACTTGGAGACCAGCCGAACAATAATGTGCAATAACAGTCTATCAGCGCTTAAACTGAACGCTCAAAAATGCAAACGGTTTAACAATGTATGAGTAGTGACTTGAATCATTCGTTGGAGCCAGTTTTCATACAGCTCACGACAACAGCTGCTTCCGGCGAAGAGCGAAAATTTAACATGATGGATATGCAATTAGTTCAATTAATAGTCCTTTTAATCAAACCGAAGACGGCAGTAATACAAAGAGGGGCAGGAGTTGGAAAACAAAGGGTTGCAAAAGAACTAGAGGTGGGAGAACGTGGTACGGGAAGTTGGAAGCTGTGGGGCAAGAGTCGTATTCGAAGTTCAACGAAATCATACAAAAAAGAAGAACATAAGGGAAAACAAGAACAAATTCAGCAAGTGGTAAGATTTACTGATTATATTTCAGTTTCCACCAAATACAAAAAATTTACAATTTTCGTTTGCGGGCTAGAGTTCCATTTTGCCCGCTTGAGTAGCCAAGCAGAGCAAAGGATTCACATCATCTCACCCGCGTGCTCCGCTAGCTATGAATTAATTAGCATTTACTGACAAGTTTCATTTGATCTCCGAGGATGATTATACACATTTTTTACCATCTAAATTTATCACGCGACAAAGTTCACCGCAGAAATTGGTCTTGTTTGAAAACTGTCCCGCAGGAAACAACAGCCAAATAAAATACTAAATTTGATTAATGAAACATTCGACAAGAAAAGCACAAGTGCTCAAAACTACTTAAGCAAACATTGGGCCTATCACAGCAGTAACTGTCCACGCATTACGCTGAAAAGACGTAATAGGAACACCATGATTAAAATATAAAATGACGCACATACGTGTGAGAGAGACTGGATATCAACCCCTTTCACACACACAAGAGAATCACATCAGTTCAACTTCTCCTCAAAATACCCATACATTATCCAGTAAATACGTAATGAGAATCATAAATAAATATCTCAGCTTATCGCTGTGTCAGACGTGTCACCTTGCCATGACATAAAATAATATTTCCTCGCATTACAAAGAGATATATGGCAGTTACAATATGCAATTTTATTAACACATCTAAAGAGGTGAGGACCACAAGCTGGTTTCCAAATAGACATCATATCTGTAGCTAAGCCTGGAGCCATCAATAAAGTTCCTACATGATCAATTATGTAATACTTATTTTCCAAGAAAATTTCAAAACTGCATCGCTTTAGTTCAATTAAATTCCAACGCATCAAAAGTTAATAAATTGAGGCTATAAAAGCTTTAATTTTGGGCATAAAACTTTAGTCTTAAGTTACATCATGCCGTGTGGAAAATAAAGGCATTGTGCTTATTATGTTAATTGCATGATTATTGATGCAAAACACTTAGTCTGTAAACTTAGCGTGATTTTTAAATAATGATTACTTCGCGTCTTAAACCACCAAGCCAAGTTGCTACTGCAATGCGGCCCTCAGTGGTCACTGCCATCCCACTCAGAAAACAGGAATGTCCCATATTGACAGAAGTACTTCGCACAAACTCACCATATTTGGTGTAAATTTCTATGTGCAAGATGTCTGTATCAAAGTCCTCCATACCGACCACCACGACATGTTGACTTGCCCTGTGAAATGCAATTCTTGAATGCACCATAGATATTTACAGATCAAACGTGTTTAGATGGTTACCTTGTTCGCTAAATATGTCAACACGTGACGGATGCCCTTGTACCACCATAACTCTGCCATCACTTACAGTGGTGATGTCATTGGGGGTAATCAAGATTTGTTCTCCAAAACTGCAAACAAACTGACCATCAGTCTCATAAACATCCACAATATGTGTCTTGCCCAAGTTACTCTTCAGTACCATCACTGTACCACTATCACTGACCGACAGTTCACACCAGTCAAATTTATAGCCTATTTTCCTGACGCGAAACTTGTGATGATGATCAGCGGTTTTGTTAAACTTAAAAATCCAGTATGGGTCCTCACCACTATTTTCTTCGACCAGGATATAAATGTTGTCATTCATGTCTGTGGCTAGCCGATCCCCCCAGGATTTAATCGATAGCTCTTTACCGCTGTCATCAATAAGAGGAGGAAGTCTGAAACATTGCACAAACTTGCCACTGCTGTCATACACCTTGAATGTCGAGTCACAGTCTGCTACAATATATTGCCCGCTTGAGTTGGTAGCGATATCAATCGGGAAATTTAACCTGTGCTCCTTTTCGCCATCATGACCAAGTATCCATGGTACACTACAGTTCTCCATACCCTGTTTACAAAGTATTTTTGTTACTCTCCGATCTCGCAACAGATCAACTTTCTCCTTCCCTGTGTCAATCATGTGCAATGGTGGAATTAATTCTTTTGCAAATGGTTCATTTGTAAATGGTTC